AAACAATTATAGTTAATAAGGCCACGAAGGTCACGCGTAAGAAAACCGTTGTCGACAAAACAAACGATTATTAATTTTTGGTGGGAAGGTTATTAATCCATTAGGGTGTTGTTGTTGGGATCTAGTTTATTTCGCAATGAGGCAATTACTTGCGACTCCAAGTGCCCAATTGGCCCAAATTAAAAAAGGTCCCAAGTAGGCACATTTTGCAATCGAATGCAACAAAAAGTCGTCGATTGATGGTCGATCGAGGATAGTAATAAAAATTGGCCCTCAATTGTGCCGAATAATGGTTGGACGGGATGAGAAAAATTACGTCCACTTCGAAAAAAAACGTACAGGTGCTTTTTGCGCGTGAATATAAAAACGCCCCAGCTCGATCAGGTCCCAAACGCCACTGTCCGAGGCAGCTTTAGCCGTATACATCGATGCGCAACAATAATCATCGGGTCGTCTCGAAAGTCGAGTTTTTCGCTTCATAAAAGAGCGAGGCGAAAATCCGGGGGAGAGGGGCGCTTATGTGCGATATACATAGGATGGATTGCCATTATTTTGTATTCGTCGAAACATCGTAATATAAAGAGGGGAACAAGGCGAGGCGCACGAACGATCGGCATCGACGATTAAGCGTATTCCCGTTCCCGAGAGCGCCTCCACGTGTATATAATATAGAGGCATGCTTTGACATCATCACAAGTATAATACACATTTGTGCGCCTTGTATTTGCGAGTATAGTATATAGGTATGTACTTACAGGTACACAATTGTGTGTGCACACATGCATGATGCTTGTGTGTGCTGCTCGAGTTTTCGAGAGCGCACTGAAACACGAAGGTGTACGTATGTACATCCTATACCTATATACTCACGTATACTTACTGCAGGCGAGCCTTGAGTTTTTGCGAGATTGTCGGAAGGCGCGCGGTCCCACGCTATATATACAACTGTGGGTGTATACGTACACACCTACCCCCGCACACACGTGTGTTTACGTATGATTTTCCTCGCTATTTTTTTTTAAATTTTTTTATTGATTATTACGTGTCACCTGTGTAAGTGCTCTCTGATATACGCACTAGAGAAAAGGGATCACTTTCGTTTGAAAAACATTTTTTCACGGACTGATATTTCGTGGAATTTATAGCAATGTGCATTTTTAACGCGTTCAGCATGGTACATTTGACAGTCAAAAATTTTCGTGCGAGCGTTTGTTTTCGGAAAAAAAGAAAAAAAAAAAAAAAACCAATTTCACGATAACATCGTATACGTAATAAAGCTCGTAATTTGGTATTTAAAATTCAAATTTATCCTTTAATTGCGAGTATAATTATTAGGTCTTGTTACATCCACGTGCAATTTACAAAAGATAAGAATCGGCAGTATAGCTACTAGAGCTGCTACGGCACAACAGCTACTAAATAACAGAGACGCTCAATTGTATTTGCTTCATTAGTAGGTATAATATTTCCAAATGAGAAACGACGTCCATCATCAATTTGAGTTACTATTATTGCGCAAAATGAAAATAAAAAAAAGGGCACATCTGAGCCGAAGAGCTTGATTTTGATCAAAAAACGCGGTGATGTGACACGCTTACGCGGGTAACTCGACGAGGCATTTTTTTGAAGCGACGCGCACAACAAACAAAAAAACTTGGAGGGGCACTCGTGGCGTAAAACAATAAAATCGCAAACGGATCCAGTTGTAAGGTATATAATGTATTAATATATAGACAAGAAGAGCTAAAGCCAATTGGGGATGTATTACCAAATGTATAAAATATAGTTGGTAATATTTATAACAATCAGGTATACGCTTCTGTAGCAGGGGACGCTGACCATAGAGTGGTAGGGCTGGCCAGAGAAAAAATGTATATAGTACACTGAGCTGAAAAAGCTCTCTCCAGCGCTTGGGGTGCCACTCCTATCATTTGGGGGCGAGGAGGATTCGAAGGGAGTTAGTTTTTACGTGTAATGTATATATAGAGAAAAGAATTCGGACCCTTTCTGCGCGTGAATTTACGGGGAGGCGCGGGTGATAGAGGCGCTAACGTAAGGCGCTTAGACAGTTTGCACACGGGGTGGAGACTTATTTATCCCCATACATTTTCAAGGGAGAGAATAAAGTGCTTTTTTTTTTTTTTTAATTTATTTATTTATTTGTCAGGAGGTACGGTTTCAAAATACACCGAAAAATTGTATAACAATGAGACGATGTGCACGTGATGATTCACTCAATTGCGAAACGCTATAATTTTCTTTGTTCCATTGTAAACAGATCTGCGAGGTGATGGATGTAAGTATATATGTACGTACATATACGTAGATTATATATGTACATATCTACACAGCTTGAAAGAGAAGAAAAAAAAAAAGGTAAAAACAAACAAGGGTGGGAGTTTGTACTGGAGAATCTTTTGATGAAAATTGCAATTATTCAATCGGAGAACTCGAACGCTTCATACCTTGTAGATATTTGTATTTAATGATGCGTACAATTTTTCTTTATTTTTACTTAAAAATGTGTTCCTACTTTTTTACTGGTGTATTTTGTTTCGCTTTATCTATATACAAATATGAAAATAACAAATAATGTTTCATTACTGTCCTCTGTAGATTTTCAAGTTTCCATTACAGCACGCGTACCTGAAAAAAATTGGCAATTTTTCGATAAAATTGTGTCGCTATATACTTCTTTTTTAATTTTAGCTTTAATAACAATCAAAGGTGCTTCAACGATGAACTGATGTATATTATTTTAACTTTGTCTAAGGCCAAACAAGAGCACTGGATCAGGTTGAATGTCACAGACGCTGTCGTTATTTCTGCTAAATGAATGAAAATCCGATTAATAAAATTGTCGCTTTTAACTTGATCAATGATTTGAATTACACCAGAGATCAAGTCAAAACTTGCCCCAATCTTTTAAAATTTAACGGCTTTTACCTTAATCTTGAATTTACCTTAATAGTTGAATGACAAGAGTAAAATTATTATTTTTTCTCATTGCAGTTTGTCGTAAATAGATTTTTTAGGGGATACATTTGTCACAAGTCCTATTGTGTTCTCTAATACGAAGGGGAAAAAGAACGAGTTAAGAAAATATGCTCTTTATTTCAGTTTGGTTGATGATATTTTTATTGCATACGTATATAAGGAGGTGAATTTGAAACTTTGAACTTTCCGTTCATGAACAACAATAAACAATAGCTTTTGGTGCGTAAGCGTGTAAATACATTATTTAAAGTCGATAATACATTCGTGGATACACAAAAAGCTTGTGTAAAATTACTACTTGATTATTAACAATTCAATATTGAATGTACCTACTGTGTGCAAATCGTTTCTCAGAAAAATCATATATATATAGTTTGTCCTCGAGTTTGTGTTGTGATTACAGTTTGTTTATTTACTTCTTATTGTTTGAGAGACATATAATTTCTACAATTTCATGCAGAGTATGATACAAGTCTAAACACTTACATTGATACGAATAAAAATTAATAATATATGTCCATACAAACTAGTGTGTTGTGTAATACCTGCATGTCATTTGATGATAACATTTTATAAGCGTGTACTTTGATATGGATTCATTGAGTAATTTAATTTTCATAATTTATAATTTTTTTGCTCATTAAAGCAAAAACTACAATGTTCGTATTGAACCTGACCTTACCGTTACACCTTTCCGTTAATCGAAATTGAACAATAGAGAGGAAAAATTTTGAAGTTACGATACACATAGTTATAGTCCTCTGTTTGATGACTTGAGCAAGAAAAAAAAGGAAACAAACGCACAGTTAGTTATCTGTTCCTTGGGTGAAAAAGAAATAAGCAGGGAAAAAATAACAATCTCAAAAACAAATGCGGTACCTTTGCTCTTGTGATTTTTTTTTTTTTTTTTTTTTTTTTGCCAATGATACCCTC